TGAGATCGTAAAGCGTCGTTCTCGCCTTGGAGTAAAGCTACCCGTTGGCGCATTTCTTCTCGGACAGCATCCAACTGGGTTTGCATCTCTTCACTGTACTGATCGGACCTTCTGGTGGCCTGCAACTCCTCACGGACGGCATCCAATTGGGCTTGAACTCCTTCTTTCGACTGATTAGCTTCCCGAGCCACACGCAATTCTTCCCGAACGGCTTGCAACTGGGCTTGAATCTCCTCTATCAAGGTGTTCGAAGTTTCGGCCATAATTGATTCTCTTTTTTTGCGAGAATTTCCCACAGACGGCGCCAATTGTTTGTACAAGAATTAAACTATTCTAAAATGAAATAGAATTGGGAATCTCACAATATTGAATCAATCTATGGATGAAAAAATAAACTGAATAATATTACTGAAGAATAATATGAAGTGGAAGACTTCGAATACAGAGTATTGGGAAATATGTGTGTATGCTTGATTACTCTCTTGCGTGTGTTTTCCAATGAATACAAACTGATGTATTTATAAAAATAGAATTTACTTCCTCCCCAAGTGTAGCATCCGTTTCCCTATTTTCTCTCTACGTGCAGCGATTTTGTCTCCATCCACAACCGTTTTTATTCTTGCTTCGGTTGACTCTTTCTTCGGCCTTATTCTTTGATTTCGAATTATTGAAGACTAATAATTGGACTTCCCTTTACTCCATTAATCCTTAGACGTCAACTGAACTTAGCAATATATCGGCCCATTCATATGGTAGAATATTGGGCCCAACAGGTGCGGATCAAATCCCGAAAACAGAGAAGAAAAACCGCGACTTGTGTGTGCGGGCAACCTGCGGACATGAATGTTGTCCAAAAATCTATCTTTCAAAGATACGATTTAATTTTGTTTCTTCCCGTAACGTTTTATTTTTCCCAGAACCTGAAGTGCTCGGACAGAACGGCTTCGGCTTCTTCTCGTCTCCGCAACAGAATTGCTCGGAACCAGAAGACCTAGTGCGGGTGTTCTGGTCGCTCCGGAGCCAGAAGACCATCGGATGTTCTGGTCGCTTCGGCACCAGAAGACCTGGTGTTCTGGTCGCGCACCAGAACGGTTCTGAACCGCTACAGCCTTAAATGCCCAACGTTCTTGTCTTTTAATGTGTCTTTAAATGGATAGTTTTACGACATATTAATGCTCAACGTGCTAGTCATTAATGTCCAACATTCAGGTCCATTGAAGGTCACTTAACACTCAACAAATCCGTCCCTATATATAGCTGGCAGGTGTTTTGCAACAACACACGTTCATACACAGTCTACACATAGTGTTTGAGCTAAACACACCTCCAGTATTCCAAAAAACTCCTGAGTGTTCATGCTTTGTTCTCGTTCGCCGGAACTTTCGTTTGTGTGCTCAAACGATTGTTCATTAGCCACCGTATGCTGGGAAACGGTCATTGCAACACTCCTAGCACCGTGGGAGGCGATGAATACGTTTTAAGGACATCGTGCGTAGCACGAGCTTTGGCTAAATTTTGCTCCATCTTTTTCTGTTTTTCTTTTAGTCATTTTAATTAATAAATTGTAAATTAATTATCTCTTTGTTTTTCGAAACACACCCAACATTGGGGCTTAGAGAGATTGTCGCGAGTTAGGTTGGCCATTCGCTCACGATTTAGTTTTGGCAACGAATTTGGCGGCATGCTTTCGGTGCTAAAAGTGATGGCATGGCAGAGAATGGAAGGATCGTGTGGCTAGGGTTTGGAAGTCGCCATTCCAAGTTTGTATTTGGCCACATGCAGCTTATTGGTCTATATTTCTTTCTAGCTTTATTTATGTTTCTTTAGACTTTTTACTATGTTTTTTGTTTGTTTGTGTTCGTAGCTTTTCTGAGGTGCTTATGACTGTTATTTGCCTCGAAGTTCCTTATGTTCAGTGGAATTTTTCGATCTGTTTTGGGAGAAGTTTTTTATGTATGATCAAGGACTGAATGGACTTTTCGGCTATTTTGAGTTTGTTGGTGTGGTAAAGAGTACAGTGATCTTAAGAGTCGGGAATAACTTTACCTTTCTCATTTGGTGGTCGGTGATTCGTGCGACTTCTTTGAAGGTGACCGTCTTAAAATGTGATCATATGCTGTTCTTGACTGTAGATGGAGTCTGTTAGAAGATAATTGAATATTGTGTTATTGGCTAGTTGTAATTACAAATCATTGGCTAAATTAATATAGTTTGACATTTTTCCTTTCAAAGAAAATAGGCTAAAGGGTCAAATAGGCCCTCGAACTAATTTAAAAAGTGCAAATCACCCCTTATATAGGAGGCTCTGTCCGACCATCGCCATTTAGGACGGTTCCTGGTGGAATGTTTTGATAATATTTTTTGAGCATCTTATTCATTAAGTCTAGTTTACCCATACCAAATATCAGATAAATATTCAACCGGGAAGACAGTAAAATGATTTTCTGAAATGTACTGCGTTGTTTAACTGCGCAGTTATCTTCAAAGGTTTATTTGACTACCTTCTCGATTGAATTTTTAGCTGAAATTTGGTATGAGTAAACTAGACTTAATGAAGAAAACGCTCAAAAAATTTCACCGGGAACCACTCCATGGCGGCGGCCAGACAGAGCCTCCTATATAAGGGGCGATTTTCACTTTTTAAGTTAGTTCGAGGGCCTAATTGACCCTTTAGCCAAGAAAATATTATTTTTTAGAACATCATTCTTTTTGGGAAAAGCTTGTCCCTCCAATATCCAGTCATTATGACAGTCAAGCTGCAATTGGAAGGGCAAGGAATGCAGTTTATGACGGTAAGTCTAGACACATCCGTCTTAGACACAACATCATTAGAAAACTTATAAAAAATGGGATCATCTCTCTTGACTATGTTAAGTCGAAAGAAAATATTGTGAATCCGCTAACCAAACCGCTAAGAAAATTTGTTAAGACATCAAGAAGAGCGATGGCATACGGCCAATGATCCAATAAAAGTCCATGGGGAAACCCTACATATTATTGAGAGTGCCTCATAATTAGGTTCAAAGGGAAAACACGGCAGTGGACTGGCTCGGGCGGTACTAGCCAAGATATAGTACACTCATGCCATTAACACTTAGGGTAAGTTACGATTTTAATGATCTCTATATCTTGATATGTTCAAGTAAGGTATGGCATGATACCTTCAATAGGGATCACCTATGTTGGTGGAAGAAGGCCGCTTCTGTGAGAGTCTATGGTACGAGATAAATTCTTTGATACACGATAAACTCTCTAAAGCACTGGCTGAAGCAGGAGGTGTTCAAGGCCGAAACGAACACAAATGTGAGAACATAAGATGCACACGGGGCTCTGTGTGTTATTCATTGTCTAGGTTTACACAATGGCTAATGGTTTAAAGCAAAATGCTACCGATTGTCCAATAAATCCGATGGATATACTCTAAGGTAGGTTCAAAGTTTCACGACTACCTAACCCTATGCAGAGTCCCCATCTTCCTATGTCAAATCTTGTATGTTTATGTCTTACGCCAATTTCTCATTCATGTGGGGGCATCGTTGGAAAAATGGTTTTACGAATTATATATTATTTGTAGAAAATCATTTTGAAATGAATGAGAAATTGTAACCCAAAATTCTCTCTGAAGCAATGTTCGTGTAGGACTTGTCCCGTGCCGCCGCCGTCGTCCAACTAGCTGGACAGGTCGGGTCGGGTTTCGAGTACAGGTGGATGGATACTCGCATGGCTTTAAGACTTAAACATATTTTTTGTACAAATTATTTTCGGATAGAAGCAACTTTAAGAAAAGGGCCGCTACCTTTTATTAACAGGCACCTTTTGGGATTGTGTCTCTAGGCCCAAGCACACTATAAATCCTATTACCCGAAATAGGACTAAAAAGGTTTGAAAATTCCAAAATAGGACTGACATGTTTTTATTCCAAAAATAGGACTAATTACTGTCATGTTTTGGCAGTACCAGGATTCAAACATGCCAATATTTTCGAAACTTGGCAGTAATTACTCCTATTTTGGGAATAAAAAACTTGGTAGTCCTATTTTGGAATTTTCAAACTGTTTGTCCTATTTCGAGAACTTTCCCATTTGGCACAACACAAGTAGCAATCGCCTCCTAGGATAGAACGATTTCTACGTTCCCGAAGGACACCGGCGAACCAAATGATGCACTAAAGTGGTGGAATTTGGATGAGGAAGATTAAGAAAGTGTGGAGCATTTTGGATTTCTTATCTAGTAAAAAACACATGCCTCCTAATTGGATTTAGGGAAAGTTCGCCGGTGTCCTTCGGGAACGTAGAAACCATTCTATCCTAGGAGGCGATTGCTACTTGTGTTGTGCCAAATTTGTCTTAAGGAGACAATAATTCATTGGGTTCGGTTTCATCGATCAAAGTATTTTCCATTTACTAGTATATCTGAATTTTGGAAAACAATATGATCGTCTCTAGTTCTCTTCTAAAGCTTGATTGGAGATTTCCCTAAAATCTCATTCAAAGGGAAAAGGAAAATAATCCTACTTTCCACGGAATCAAACCCCTCTTAACAATTCGATTGGATTCCCTTATTTTGAAGGAAAAGAAAACAACTTTTCATGGAACATCAATTTGTAATTTATGTGTCATGTAAGGAGTAAAATTCCCTCCTCTTGATTTCTTGGGAAAGTGTAACATTCCAATTTCTCCTAAACAAATACTCTCTTACACCTAATTAATTCTTTAAGAGGTAACATTGTAAGAGAAAATAAAAATACTTTTGAGAGAAATCATTGTAAGGACCATAAAATACTTCCACGTATGAAGTAATCACGGATGTGCCTTATGCTTCATTGTATGTTTCATGCTTGCTGGCCATGACGGAGTTATACCAAACAAGCCACATCAGGCAAGATAATGAACAAGGACCGGTTTATATCAAATTCCCAGTTTTGGCAAATTAAAGTGCGTATAGGTCTATAGTGTAAAACCGGATAGATCTAGATGTGTCTCCAATGTCAGAACAACACATGGGAGAAGGTAGAGAAATTATGATAAACAAAAAGCACAATGGCAACAAGTTTTTCTAACAAGAGTAAGCAATTATATGATCACATGAAGCTACTTTAAAGAGTGTGTTACAGAAAATACAAAAAAAATCTGTCTAAAAAACAGAAAGAAAGGGAAACTAGAAAACCACCTTGACTGATGTTCTAAGATAGCTCTTCCTCTAACAACTCAGGTCTCTAAATTCTTGACAGTGTTCGAATACAAATAGGTTCCATTATACCATAGCTTCTGAGTTTCTTATTATGCAGATGTCCAGCAAGAGTTACAACATAGAACTCTACCCTTCCACCCTTGCAGTAACCAATGACCATCTTCTACATACAAAAACTCTGTGGTATTCTGCCCTCACCATTTCTTTCAACTCCTTTACAAGCTCTGGCCTTATGGGCATAGGCTTTAACCCAGCTCTCGTATTGCATGATTGCCACTGCTTGTATGTTTCAGTTCTCTGTAATCTTTGAATGCCCTCACATGCAATTATATTCATTATTTCGCATGCCCTGGATTCTTCAAAACTCAACCTATGAAGATCATTACGAGGTAAAACAGCATCACACATATCAAAGCAAGCAGAGTAGTAGAAGAGAGCTTCTCGAAACCGAGTGAGAAAGAAAGGAGATGTGTGGGCTCCACTCAGCACCGATTGCACATAAATATGAGGATTTATTTTACGGATTAAGTTTGTAACTGCAATCTTAGGGCTGTCTGGAGTATCTGCAACAACCATTGCCTCATCGAATAGGTTTTCGAAACGAAACAAACAGTTAATAGCAACCAAATCCCCACTCACAAGCTTTAAATCCTGAACTTTAATTGTCTCCCAATTTTTCCTTGTGATGGCATTGTACTCAAATGGTACACCGAAACGCTCACAATATTTTGCCAAACGACAACCGGTCTCTTTTACCATTTCTTCGGGGCGAAAACCGGGTTGGGGAAGCTCAATTCCGGTTATTCGAAGTTTGGGAGGTCCACCGGGTCTTTGTGAAAGATTCTGTATAAGCATGGGCCACTGGAAACCATAAAGAATACCAAAATCTATGACGTGCAATGATTTACTTTTTAATGCTACTTCGTAAATCATTGCATTCCCAAGGATAATTGATGTTCTAAAAAAGGGTAGAGATAAATTGTGGGTGTGAAAGGCTTTTATCATTCCAGAAGCTGTGATCTTATTAGAAGCTAGGGCCGCATACAATTGTGCGCCAGTTCCATCCAGCCGTGCTTCAAGAGCATTTGCAAATGCATGACCTAGCCGTTGATTTGCATCACCAGTTGGCGAAGAGTGCTGCCTAATCTTCTTTAGCTTTTCTTTGGCAATCGTATGTTCAACATCAGCAATAGATTGTGCACAGCTGGTTAAAAGAGATCCTATATCCACACCTTCACAAGTCTGCGGTTGTTTCAGTGAATGCCCCTTCCCATAACCTTGCCCATTCTGTTGAAAGCCCATTTTTATTCCAGAAGGACAATCTATATTATTGGTAAACAGCAAAGCCTTATCAAACACCTCTGATAACTCAACCTCCTCCTCCTGGTGAAAAGCATACTGCTTACTGCTCCTTTCTTCCTCTATTCGGACCTCACCTGGGTGGTGATGCTTCTTCCCTTTAGAAAAATAGGCTGAATGCGACTTCTCTATACTGAGAACCAACTGATTTCTGGAAGGAGAGAATATAATTTCTTTCTCCTTATCTCTCTTGAGTTGCAAGTCAGACTCAGTATCACTACGTATATTTGCATCCAAAGTAGCAGTTCTGACAGAACCTTTTTCATTACCCATAATACTATTGAAGTTATCTAAAGATCCATTTGACCTCTCCTCATATGATGTAGATTCTCTGATTCTGTAATCACTTGAACTCCTAAATGTTCTGTCTGGGCTTCCAGATTTATAGTTAACAAAAAGAGGTTCTTCATTATGTGATGAAGGGGTCTGATAAAGGGCATCATAAAAGGAATTCTCGGCAGCTCTAAGGGAAACAGGGTCATAGAACTTGCTGAGATTATTATTCTCTTCAATGTCACTATCCTCTAGTAGCATCTGACTAATGTACCTGAGAGCGGGACTAGAGTAGTGATCATCCTGCAAGTCCAAAGCAGGAGGAGCATGTGTGACTGAATGAGCATCCTTATGGGTGTCTGGAATGTCTGTTGATTGTTGCAAGGTAGAAAGAATGATCTCATTCTCTAACTCCAATTCATTTGCAGATGAGTCAGGGAACTCCCAGTGATCCATCACCATTAATGTGAAGAAACCTATTTCCACATGGAAAGATAGGTAAACAGATAAGCAGCAGCAGTAATCAGCTTAATAAAGGGAGATAGAGAATGTTCAATACTGATATTTATGTTCGTTAGAACACTATTAAAATGATCAAAATGGATTTCTAGAATATCAAAAACTGCAATATAATAACATCTATTATGGTCACTCTACCACATTTATGGCGGTTTCGGTCTGTGTGGTCTGCCCATTAACCACAAAGAACTAAAATTGATACGGTCGGGGGAACTGAAAAGCCACCAAAGGTACAAGTAGGGATAGTTCTTCAAAAATTAAAAATGAGAGACTATGATCGCCATGGCAGCATAAATGAGGGTGTAGAAAGAGTAATTCACCCATTTCTGATCTATAAATATGAAGGATAACCACAAGGGAGAAACTGAAAAAGTAACATTTCATGATAACACAATCAGAGCACTAACTGTCCAACACATCGAATCCTCAGCAGTAATAGGCGATCATTTTGATTGATTTTTTTTTTAACTTTCACCTTTTTCACCTGAATATAAATGACTAGTTAATGAATGCCCGATCGTCGACACAAGCAGTAAATGAGTTTGACCATAGATCGATTACACACAGACAGAAATGAAATCAGCTTCCAATCGGAAGTTCAGTCAAATATAACGTGATACAGGTAAAGAAGAAAACTGAATGTACATTATGTTCTGGAAATTAGTTCGTTTTTTTTTTCTTTCAGAAAGCTGAGTACGTACCTTAGACTGGGAAGTGGGCAATGAGCTAAGATTCCAGAGATAGCAGCAAAACAAATTAGTACAAATTAACACAGGAATGACCCGGGAAACAGGACGACAAGAAATCCGGAAAAGAGCAAATAACTTTAAAAAACATGATGATTGAGAATAGGCCCACCTTCCTCACCCTTCCACAAAGCATTTGGGAGGTTTTTAATCAAAGTGATTACGCTAATAAATATTGGTACGGAGTATGTATTTTTTTTAAAGAAAAGCTAATAAATATTGAGCGGTTATTTAAAAAAAAAAAGCTAATAAATATTGGTAGACACCTAAATTTCGATCATTGGCTAAGAAGCTGTTCTGTTCGTCTTATTCTTATTACTTATTATTTATTCTTATTTTATTCAGATCAGATCAAAAAAATTCAGATTAGATCAGATTAGAAAGATTCAGATCAGATCAGATCAGATCAGAATCATTCAGATCAGATCAGAAAGATTCAGATCAGATCAGACCAGATCAGAAAGATTCAGATCAGATCAGAAGCACTCAGATCATATCAGATCATATCAGAAAACTAGTTACTCCACCCGTGCGTTACACGGGAGTGAAGCACCTACATAAAAATTTAGAAGCAAATATATAAAAAAACTACAGAGAACTAAATAATGGCTCGATTTATTTAAAAGATTGAATAAATTCCTAAATTAGTATCTTATTGTATAATATTATAAGAAGAACCATAAAAACATAAGAAATAAATCGTAAAAGTTTAATGTATGTCCATGAGATTTTCAACGGGATTACACATTACTATAAAATTTTAGATATGCACTATATAGCATGCAATACAGACTTAGTTGATCGTTCATCTTCATGACATATCACAAACTTTAATCTAAATGGAGTTGTTACTCTCGATACAAATATGTTCAACTGCCCATACAAAAAAAAAATGACCGATAAAGTATGATGCTAAACTTTTTCAATGATTGGCGAGACTCTTATTAATGGTCATTGCATAACGAATGGAAGCTCTCTTCGCTGAACAGAGAATAGAAGTGTAACGTCAGATGGTATTAAATTAAGTCTATGAATAAGAAACTTTTTACTGACAGTTCTTCATGCATCATTTGAGCCTTGATAATATGCGCCCAAGTTTAGTCACCAGGTGTGGTGTGGCACTGAACAATTCAAAGGAATCTCCACTTTCAGTTTTAGCTCATGACTCGACAAACAGAAACATTTAACATTATTAAGATAACCAGGAGAATGTATCTTGTGTAAAATATCACTACTTAAGCTAGATAATGCCAAATCTGAGCATATGAGTACTCAACTCCCAATCTATTTGATGCGAGATATAATCATTAACATAATCAAGCTCATTATATAGGGTTGTCATTGTCTGTCAATTTCTTTGTTACAATCGAGTTTATTATTATTTTTGCTATATTATTTTAATCAATGTACTTTATTTATTTTAAGGAAGTAGCGCAGCTATAATTTCTATGTGTTAGGACTTTTGGCCAAGTCGGACTTTTAGCCAAGTCAGGCCAAACTTTTAGCTAAGCAGGTCAGACGTGTTTTAATATGTTTAAACCCGAGCTTGACCGGTCCCTTTTTGGCCTAAACTTGACTTATTTAATAGTCTAACATGCGGTGAAACCGAAAATCAACATCTATTGAATGAGAGAATCAAATACTCCTAACTTAAATGAACATAGAAAATGGAACTCGTTTAATCTTTAATCTTTAATGGACTTAAACCCTAAATATATGCTCCTGAAATAGGTCCAAATCATATCCTTGTATCTATTCTCTAATTATATACACATCAACATTGATGTTATATTCTCCTTAAATATTGTAGGTTACATATATTGAACTTATATGATTATATCCTTGTAACTTACAATTTCAAAGTGAAACTGTAATATTGAAAAGTTATAAAATCATTCTCATGGCTGAAGTTACAATAAAAAAGCTGCCCAAAAACATGATCTATAGTTCGGTTGCCGCCGGAAAATGTCATAGAGCGGCGCATCGGCAACAACCCAAATGTAAGACAATCTAGTTGCAGTTTAATGATGCCATCATTGCCGTGTAGGAATAACTCTTAAATCTGATCTAAACTAATAAAAATCCATCCAAAAATCTCCTCTCAAGTTGTAGCTTTTTTCTAACAAATGCTCTCATTTGAATATTCTTAACACATGAGTTGCAACCCTAAAATTACAACATGAAAATGCCACCAAGAGAAATCAGCCAAATATCACCTAAATGAAGCTCCGTAAGAGCCACAACAGTCACAACATTATCCCTAATCTATCCCGCCGGCCGCCACACATCAAAGTTGGTGAAAATACTTCTCTCCCTTCCAGCACCAGAGTATGCAAACGAAAAAGTGCACAAAACATCAAACTAAAGAAAGGAAGAGTAAATATTAATTAAAACATACGTAAAGCATACCGTAGGTGGGAGCCTTTGTGCCACTGGGGTAAATGATGATTGATTGATATACGTAAAGCATACCCCATAATGGTGCTTGTGGAACCAGCAATCGCAAATTGCATGCGACCTGAAATCTAATAAAAAATAAATTTGATCAAAGAACTGAAATGAATTGAAATGAAAAAACATATTCATTCATACCAAGATTAAAATCCAAAACTTAAGTGTTGCACATAACTCACAAATTGTGTCTTATGATACTACTGGGAGGTTAGTTTTTGAAATGCTATTCGAAAAAAATAAACCTTAGGACATTTTATTAAACACGGCATATGCAAAATATATAAAGTACTTAAACCTTAGAATATAGATTTAGCCGCACATAATCACATAGAATATAGATTCTCAATTCATTTAAGATTAATGTTAATCCAGGATCAATAACGTAACATAGCGTCGTGGTCGAAATTATGATTAAGAAGCTAAAATCTATATTAGTTGATGAAGTCTAACTTCGAATTGCTGAGTAAAAAATCTAACTCAATGCATAAAAAAACAGAATGAGGAAAAACAACTTTTACTCTTGGGGAAGGTAGACTTTAGAAAGAATTACAATGCTCTTCAGCTAAAAGAGTAGAGCACACATATTTTCATTATGTTCAGTTCGGCATGCTATGTATGTTGTAGTTTGTCCCGATTACATTTTGGGTTTTCACAATTTTAAGAGGAATCTACCTTTTCTCTCTCACACGACCTAGAGAGAATTAAAGGAAAATAATATGCACTTTCTTAAAACAATGAAGCATACAAAAATTTGCTTGAAATAATAATATTGTAAGAATCTTACGATTTAAGATCACAATATAAGATTGATTACCTTAACTTGAAATAAGAAACTTACATCTGTATCTATGTGAGAATTATCACCTTAGTGTTACCTAAAGTACTTTATTGACAATAATGTTATGATATTACACAGTTATTCAATAAACATATAAATGAACGTTCTTAAAAAAACTATTTTAAAAATAATGTACTCCCTTTTTCCCAAAAATGTGCCAACTTTCCCAGTGGCAGAGCCAGAAAAACGGGTCAAGGGGGTCAAAAATCAACAATGTACAAAATGAAAATGGTAGATCGTTTTAGAGAATGTCAGAGTTGAATGTTTCAGTTGTAGTTTATATATAAGTAATAAGATACATTGTTTTTGCTCTGTTTCTAAATCATGTCATTTATATAATGAGTTAATTATACGTTATTTATAAAAATTGGAAAAATAATCAATATTTTGAATCAAATTTTGTTGATTTTACATTTATAGAGTGCTGATTTTCTAGAAGTCATAATTTTTTACTCGTAATGAGTTACATGGGCCATAATATATCAAATCGAAAATGTTTCAGAGCTCTATACTCTCAAACTTTCAACGGGGTCGGCTGACCATCCTGACCCTCCCTTGGCTCCGCCCCTGAACTTTCCTAAGTTAGGTGTCCAAATAAACTTTTTCATTTCCATTGAAAGTAATAAATATGAGGTTTATTTATATCTCTTCTGCACAAATATAATCAAGAACAATTGAACAAACCTAAGTTACTATTTGAGTCAAGCTCTCAATTTTATAAATTATAAGCTTTGGTTGAAAATATATCTGAGTATGAACTTAAACCCCGTTAAGAACTAAAATTGAGAATCAGAATTTGATATCACGAAGTTCAATGAAAAATCAGAAATAAAAGACTTTAGTGTAAAATAGCATAACTCCAGCAAAAAGAATATTTTTATTTTACCGTTCTTGAATCCGAATTATAAGGAAAACGCCACACTTAAAGAGAAAAGATGCATGCATGCACACCATTGAAATACATTAATACCATGAGCTCCCTCATCATCTATGACCAACAGACAAACCACCACCACTGATTTTTAGTTGTCCATTATGTACGAAGTTGATAAAGGATTCCTTATTTGCGGCTGATGCATCCCTCCAACGCCTCTCCATATAAGACATTTCTTCCCATTTAAACTTGAGCGAAAAATCCCATAGACCAAAATACAGGAGTTATAAGTAGCAGAAATCACATGAATAACGCCTGAACTGGTAATTATTCTACTACCTTTCTTACGTGTTAGAACAGCCACCTCCTCACCTGTGGCCTATCAAAAGCTACTTTACACTTCTGAACTCAATATCCTTATAAATAAAGTTTTCAGCTGCCAATATATTAAACAATGCCCCTTTAAATAAGCATACCTATTCTATACCGTAAAATGTGTCATAAACTTAAATAGTCTTTCCCCTCCTTGTGCAAATGGGACTTGCAAGATCAAACACAAAGAGATCGAAGGAATTAAAAGAATTTACCGTTAATGTTTCTGAAACTTAATGGCCATCTGAATACTTAATGGGCCGGATTGAGGCAAAAACTAAATTTTGTGTTAAGTATGATAATGATTACATGATCCAAACAAAGTTACTATATTGAAATGCAGATTTTTAACAGTTCCTCCACCCAGGTGAACTTTAGATCTGTTAGGATAAACCAGACACTGCCGCAAAATGTGCATAGATCTTTCATTTTCTGTTGCAAAGTTAACCAAATAATTAAGTTTATTATAGAGTTTATGAAAATGTTTTCATTAGTTCCTTTGAATGAAGGACCATTAGATCGTAATAACACTTGATTCTGTAACAAATTTAGAAAATACATAGATATTTTAACTCTAAAAACAGAGCAC